GATTATTAGTGTTAAAAAATATATAATGTTACTTGAACGAGACATTTTTGAGTTGTGTTTTAGTCGACTGAAATCTACTCTGGAACAGGCACTTAGTCATTAGTTTGACTTATCCATGAGATTTTCTCCCTCTGACTACAAACTGAGACCACTCTGTCTGCTGTCTACTCCAGGTAAGATACTAACTACTCATAGTGTCCACAGAAATCCATGTAAACTCCATACTATCCCTTTAGGTTCATGTTTTTGGGTTTTAAATAAGATTAGCGAGATCTGTTTAATGTTTAAATGTTTTTAAGTGAAGTTCTACTTTTGATTCATTAATGAAAACTAAAAATATTGCTCGATTTTTAAAGTAAAAGTAGAATGTAAAAACAAATGTTTGTTCAGAGGGCTTGAAAAGCAGATATACAGAGCTGTAAGTCCGTCTGCTGAATGGCACACAGCTGTCCTCTGGCTCACAGTGATTCAGCACCATGGCATCACAGCAGGGATGTGTGGATATTAAGCATACTTTACTTCCTCATTTCCTTTTCTTCCCTCAAACTATTTCTCTCAATTCTCCCTTCTTGGTGCATTTTTTTTCCTTTCTGCCTTTTCACAAAAAAGACTTTACTGTTTTTTTTTCCTGTTGGATTTAAAATATTAACTGTGGAGGAACAGACATGTTTCATTTTATCTAAAGCCTAAACAACAACGAATAGCTGCATCTCTTTTCTCATCACTTCCTTATTAGGAACATCCTCTTGCCTCATTTTGCTTATAAGCTGTCCACGATTCCAACCCCCCCAGCTGTGGCAGAGATAGATGCACAGACTAGAGGCCCAGCACCCTGAATTCATCCCTGCTGTTCCTCATCCTGCTTCACTGATGTGCACAGCCATGCAGCAAATCAGCCCTGGATGAACCTGGCTACACACTGGGGCTCTTTTACTGTAAGCATAGCATGTGCAGACTTAAAGCTGGAGCTTAAACGCCTGAAGGTTTGTTGAAAGAAGAAACAAAAGATACAAATGAAGAATATTTGCCGTAAAGGCAGATGTAGATCAGATGCTGAGTAACACACACAACACACAGCTATAACCTGGGATGATTTATTGTTGAAATATGATGTGACATGCTTCGTATGTTGATATTTTTGTTCTTTTTTTCATGGAACCCTGTTCCTTTTTGTCTGCGAGCCTGTAACTGAGGCTAACTTTGTATAAAAACAAAGCTCCAGTGAAAGAACTCTTAGAAAATGTAATGAGACAGTAATAACAGGGTTTAAGTGTCGCCCTAAACAGCTCTGCAGAGCTGTGCCAAAAATGAGGAGCACTTTCTCCAGATTGCATCGACCATGAAAGCAGCCGGCAAGGTCAGCGCTTTGTGCTTGAATAAATTGAGACCATCTAAATGTTTTTTTTTTTTTTACAAGAATGGTGTAAATTTATGAACTGGTATTTTTGCATGGCCTGTTGAGTCACAGCCAAGGTGACACTTCGGATCTACTGATCACAATTAACATGTATCCATGTGTTTAAATAAATGCACTATGAAAGAAAACCAGGCTTGCAGCCAGATGATCTGACAACTTTGCATTACAGGGAGGCAACAAACATCTTCCTGCAACTAGAATTTGAAGATTTGCTGGTTTTCCTGCTCATTTACATACAAACAATGATGTGACGTTTTTCTAACTCTGTGCTCCTGTTTTAGCTTTTAGTTTGACTCAGGATATTGCCTCTGTTTCTTGGTATCACCAGAGAAAGTGTTTGCAAAATACGGTCATCAAAAGTGTCTAAAGCAGTTAAATGTTCACTTAGTTTTAGTTTATTTTTTCATCAATTATTTTTTTGCACTTCTGCAAAACATTTTGATAGCCTCTGAAAGATTAAAGCGCAAGACTTTTAGCACCTCCCAGGTTAGAAACCACTGATCTAACGGTTAAGGCCCTGTCACACTATATTATTTAGACAGCTTATGCCAACTTGTGAAAATTCTGTCCAAGACTAAAGACGTCTACACTGAAGATGGAGCTAAAAAATCTACTGCAAGCCTCTTTTGGACGTGTACATTTTGTAATGTTAACAAATATAATCTATATTAGTAATTAATTCATAAAATATTCATAAGTTGGTATAAGTTGTCTAAAACGTTGCATGGTTAAAGGACCTTTACAACTGTCATCAGGTTCATTATATAATAATAATAAGAATAATAGTCAAAAACAAATAGTCACAATTAAAAGCAGGAATCATAAAATAGTCACAGGAAAAAAAACATTGGCTCGCCTCTTTCTGTCAGTTGTTTTGACTGCATTAACAATGAGTGAACTCATGACTTATAATA